AGAGGCGGAGGAGAGGAGACAGGCTGTTCGGAAGGGTGCGCGGTGAATTCCATTTTCGCGTTCCCCACGAGGATGACGGTCCTCCCGGCCGCTGTCGACGGCAACGGGGAGCAAAAAAAAAGAGAGGGTACTCGTGCGTTCATGTCACCTGCGTCGTTCGCCGCGATTTTGCGAGGGGTAACAAGATCTATTTATTTAGCGCGCGGGTCCGCGAGGGGAGAAATGCAACAAGGATAAAATTCTCGCTCCTTTTCTCCTTTCGTGAAAAAAATATCGGTAAAACCGATTCTTAATTCTGTAAGAGACATCGTATTCGCTGAACAACAGGGAGTTAAATCAATGATAAATCAAATTTTGTAAGCTATAAGCCGGATATCACAGATACAAAAGTATATATCATTTATTATTGCTATTATCGTAAAAAGTTACTAAATCAGTCTTTACGCAAGATAGAAAAAAAAAATTCCTCCAGATTCCGCGCAAATTGGGATAAACACCCCGGGCCGGCCAAGAGCGGTCATGCGTGCGTGAACGTTTTCGCGTGCAGACAGCTCCACGTGAGTCGTGGAGGGCGATAGAGAAAGAGAGAGAAAGAGAAAGCGAGAAAGAAGAGAGAACGAGAGAGAGAGCTCCGGGGTGCCGTAGATCGACGAGACGGCGGGGGTGGCGGCGGCAGGGCGAACGAACGAGGCGCGAGGGGGTCGAAAATCGAACGAGAGCGAGCGAGCGAGCGCTGGCGCTGTCATTAAACCGCAAGCAGAATTTCCGACCGCTCGCCCGACTCGACACGCGTCGCCCCGCGTCCGTCCCCCCGCGCTCTTTCCACCGTCGCGCCGCGCGACCCCCATTCATCATAAATGCAATCAGATCGTATTACGCGCCATTACCATACGCTCTACCCCGTTCCAGTCTCCGTCCCGCCGGTCCCCAGTCGCCGCCACCCTCCTTCACTGTCGGCTCGCGCGCGGGGATACGAGCCCGAAATTCATACCCCCCCCCCCTTGCACGTGCGAGGCAAAATCTTCGAAAGCCCCGTCCCTTCGACGGAAGCGCGGGAGGGAGAGAGTCGAGGGCTGATTAGGTTTTGATTGCGTACGGTCGACCGCAAGTGAGAGAAAACCGAGGATGGGAGGGGGAGGTTAGATTAGGGGATACGTTTGTTTTCTATCTTTCCTTTTTCCGACATCGTTCCGCGTGATCGATGTCGTCGCGAGAGAATTCGACTCCGTCATTAGTAACGGAGGACAAAAATAATTGATGCCCTAATGCGTCCTACAAATGTATAGATCAGCTTTATTCCCGGTTTAATTTACTTTTTTATACTTTCCCAGTTCTCTAACAATTAAAACGAGATGAAGAGTAAATTAAACTGAGATTAAAATTAATCTGCACTGATAGAAATGAACATCTAATTCAAATGGATTTAACATTCTAATTCGGAAAAATGCATTAATGACATCTATATATAATATAAAATTCTAATTCGGGAATTGATATTCCGCGCCGGCAGCATAAATACGGCCTCAAATTCGCGTCAGATTAACATTCGGTCTACGTTATTGACACCTTCGAGAATATCGCTTGAGGGTATCGATTGGCTATCGCAATTAAGGAGAAAGTGCTCGCGGACAATTAGGAAACTCTATTCCGCAGCTAATCGACACGCCTCAATAATCGGTGGTACGACGACGTGCGCGATATATTGGGCCCGCGACGCGCGACTACATTCACGTCCGCGGGGGAGAAAGACTTTTTCTTCGCGAAAAAAAATTGACGCCTCGACGGCGACGCTGCGAGTCGCGACTGTTCCTCGCCTTGCTTTTCCGGCCTCCGTGACGCGATAGGGTGCCCGTCGCATGCGATCGCTACCGTGCAAAGCACCGTGCGATTCGATCGTGTGTGCGGGGATTAGTACGGGTGCGCGCGTGCACGATCGCAGTTATTTATTCTTGTTTTCGCGAATGAATTGTGTATGTGTGCGCCATGAAGAAGACGACGAATGGAATCGCGACTGATCCGCGTTAATCGGGAGTGCCGAGTACGATTCGACGCGACTGCGGAATGCGTACAATTAACGCGTGCAATCGCGACTTGTCTCTATTTAAATACGATCGCATCTAAAACGAACGGTGAACGCGTTCGACAGTGATTCGACTTTGAAGAATGCAAAATACGAGATGCGGTTGCCACTGGGAAAAATTGTTTTCGCCGCGGTGGAGACCCTTCGGTAGGACCTCACCCGAGCCTCCGGGACACACCGATATCGAGGATTCTTTCGTGCGCGTTTAATCGCGAATATTTTCAGGCTACCCTCCGCGTCCGAGAGCTATACACCAAGCTATACCTTCAGGCGCGACGATGCGTGATGGCCACCGATAACGATTTTACGAACCGCACGCGCCCGAGGACGCGCACGACTGTTGTAGGCATCGTGAGCATCGTATCGCGCATTTGGATCTCGTTCCCATCGTTCGACCGCGGACGTGCGATGTCACGGACGGAATATCGGGGAATATCGTGACGAATCACCAGCATTCGCCGGGGAAATTTCTCACCCCTCCCGACTGACCGGTACATGAATGATGAGCCCACGCTGGTTATCGCAGATTTGCCGGGTGCTAAGAAAAGCATGCATAAAGGTGATAATTCCGCTGTAGCTGTTGTGTGTGTGTGTTGTAATTTTAAGTAAAATCATATACATAGATCGTTATTATTATACATTACTATGTGTTGTACATATTAATTTTGTATTAATTACTTATATGTATTAAAAACCTGCCTGAAGCCTGAGAGGAGGAGGAGGAGGACGAGGCCCGGAGAGGCAACGGATCTCTCTTGCGCGCGCGATGGACAGGCAACGCGCAACTTTCGAGACACCCCGTGTACATATGTACCTCTTATATAATATATACCTACGATCGTGCACACGACGGTACGGACACGACGTCGACGGCGACGACGTCCCGCAGGATGTTCTACTTAACCCAGAAAGCGGTGGAATGGAAGCGAAGCGTCCGCTCTCTCCCTCCCCCCGCCTCTCTCTCTCTCTCTCTCTCTCTCTCTCTCTCTCGCGTGCGCATCTGTATGCGCGTGTATACGTGTGCGTGCGTTGTACATGTGCATGTGTGCGCGCAATTCTACGTGTCGAACTAGAGCGATTCAGGGAGGGGTGCTAGCAGGGTGGCGTCGATGCCGGGGGACGGACGGAGAGCGACCCCGTAGTTCTGATCGCTTCGAAACCACCCTCCCCCCCCCAGCCCTCTCTTCGCGCCACACCATTCCGCTGACGCTTTTCACCCTGTATGAACGATCGCGCGTATATATGTACAGTACGCGAGATAAACGCGCGTCGACGATGCCTGATTAGCAACCTGTGCGATTAGAAATGTTTACTTATTAAAATACGAGCATATTCACGAAAATTGATAACTTTCACTATTTTGCTTTTCACGTAAGTCCGTAGATTGAGGATACGTATTCCTGCGTATTTTAATATGAAAAAAATAGAAATGAGCAGATAGGAATAATAGGAAAAATCAGAGGGAATGTTTATCATTTTTATCATTGTTGTGCTATTCGAATTGTTATCAATTAGGTATTAATTTTGATAGAATCGTAAAAGGAAATGTGGACATATTTGAAGAATTATCGTCTTAACTTATTGCATCAATGCGAACTGTAACACTTGAAACAGTATTAAATTGTACGCGCTTCTATTTACATAGGAAAAAAAGGGAATTTTACAAGTTACTCTAATACTAATATATTTGAAATACAAATGCAAAGGCGAACTTTCGGAATAGGTCGCAATCACGACTCAATGATTTCTCTCTATCTGATTTTGCTGAAGGAAAAAATTGGCTCCGGGTCTCTCTCGCGCGCGCGGTGGACAGGCAACGCGCAACTTTCGAGACACCCCGTGTACACATGTAATATATGCAACCAACCGAACCTCGCGAGAATCGACATGTGCGGAGGACGACGACGACGACGACGCCGACGACGAGGAAGAGCACAGGGCGCGTGCCACCGCGTAACAAACATCGGATGCACGAGAGGGGGGCCCGACAGCACCGTCAGCCGGTGGCGGTGGTCGCTCGTGGGGATCCGGGGATCGGGGCAGGCAGCAGGGGGTACGAAAGCGGGGGATGGATGGATGGGCGAGTTGTGAGTTATCAGGGGCGGGCAGGCTCGTGCGGCTCTACTATCCCCCTCCGCGTAAGAGGGTGCGAGCGGCGAGCGGAGGCAGGAGGGTGTGCGACGGAAGCGTGGTAGTTCTGGCCTGGTGCTACCCGCATCCACAGGAAGGGTGGCGGTGGGATGGGGTGATCGATATGCCGTGCCGTCGCCAGTGCCACACACCACGCCACGCGTACGTACGTTCCGCTTCAGCGACAACGTTAAGGAGGAGATAGTTATCGGGGGATGCGATTGTTTCGGATGGGGAACGTGGCTCTCGGCAGGGGGTGTTGTGTGACTCCTAGGTGTTTCCATTGAAATTAAAAAGCTCTAGAGAGTAGAGATTGAAACCGTAAACGAAAACCAAAATTTAAAAATTTAGAAATCGGAATCTAAATCGAAAACGGAAATTAAAAAGATTTAGTGCGAATATATTCGCAATATTTGAGAAGGTATATATCCTTTAATTTGTACTTCCTCATCATTTGAAACTGAACGCGGGAGGAGGATTGATAAATTTGCCATGGCTTTTCCAGTTCGCGAATAAGCTAAAGTGATTATATTCGATAACTCGATGCGAATACTTTGGAATACTTTGCGCCGGGGTGGAAACACCTAGGAGTCATCCCCTGCCGAGAGCCACGTTCTTCATCTGAAACAATTGCATCCCACCGCTACCTTCCCGGTGGATGGGGATAGCACCAGGCCAGAACTACCACGCTTCCGTCTCTACAGAGTAGAGATTGAAATCGTAACCAAAAACCAAAATTAAAAAATTTAAAGATAATGCCTACAAATAATTAATGAATTAGTTCACTCACCAGTCGTTGTACACTAACTAAATACACTCAAAGCTATACCTGAAAAAAAAAATAATTATAATTATTACAAATTCTATTTGTTTTGCCTATTTAAAAATCATGTCTATTTAATTATGTCAATTTTGACTAAAATGTAACTGAGTAAAACAGATTATATAAATAATTATTTAAATATTTCATTATTTAATTTTTATCTTGTTATTTAATTAAATGTATAATTTAAATATTTTTGAACTTGG